CGGGGGTGCATTCGATGGTGAACTTGATTTGTTGAAATGAAGCAGAGTGTGATGTCTACCACCACATGTGAAACAAATGTGTTTGCTGGTGCATTGTGTTAATGTTGAATGCCCTAAACAGTTAAAACACAGCTTCTGTTGATTTGCAAACTCTTTACGTTCAAATGGTGTCAATTGTAAAAACTGTAGGCACTTGCGAAGAACATGCAGACCCTTACACCCTTCGATCGGACAGACGATTGACTTTTTTGAGACATGAAGATTTCGTATATCCTTTCTGCCAGATGATTTATTTGAGGAATTGAGGGATTTTGAATGTGACGGTGATTTAGAAGTGTTGTTGTTACTTGGGTGTGCGGCCAGAAATGTCGATTTGAGAAAATCGAGAAGTTGCTAAAGTTTTTCAACTGTCTTCGGTTCCTTGCGATACCTTTCAAAATCGAAGTGTGTAGCTGATGATAGCTTTTCGAGTAAATGGAACGCAAAAAACTCGGAATTTTCCTCGGTATGAAATTTGAGGTTTTCCAATTGAACAATACATGCACGCACAGAGTCATGTAATGATTTCAATTCAGTTGCTGATTCACGTTGAGTGTAAGTCGGCAAATTCATGAATTTTCTCATGAATGCTGTGAACAGAACTTGGTCATTACTATAACGATCTTGTAAATCTCTCAAGGCCTCGTCATAAGTATCGTCCATAACTGCCAAATGAGCGATAGACGGTGTCACGTCTGTGGTTAGAAACGATTTTAGATAAACAAATTTTTGATGTTTGAACAGCCTTGGATTATTATGGATTGCCTTAAAGGATGCAAAAAACGTTGGCCATTCGGTATTTTCGCCATTGAATCTTTCTATTTTCAACTCAGGAGGTCTCAATGAGCTATCGGTGTGGACTTCGCGTATAATTGTATTAATAGTTTCGGTTGCCGGAGCAGCCGAGATAGCAGAAGTGGCGGAAGTTGCTGTTGTTGCGTGAAGATCGGTGTGTAATTGGTCGAATGCACTTTCAATATGATCGATTGCATCCGCAAAGATATCTCCCAAAGATATCTCTTTTGAAATATTCATCGTCGATAGATAAACTTGAACGCACCAACGTTCGATAATTTGCGTTGAAAGTCTTAAGAGATTGTGCGATTCGATTGAGACGTGTCATGAACTGCCCCTTAGAATGTCTGCCTCGGCCGTCTTTGTCGAAGATTGGTCGCTCTTTACGTAGTCGTTCGAGTAAATCGAGTTGTTCTGCTACCAGTTGCTCTTCGTCAGTGAAGGCCGCTGATTTGGCAGCCGTGGAATCGTCGTCCGACATGTCGAATAAACAATTGCCAAACGAATATGTTAAAAGTCAGTTACCTCGAAAGTCTGCGTTTTAGAGGTTTCGACCCGTCCTTTTGTTGATGATTGTCTGCAATAGATATCCAGCAGTGCTGGGTATACGCTCTGATGATTCCCGATGAAAATAGTTTTTGATGAAGTGGGCTGTCCCCTTGAGCGGTGTCCTCTTACGATAATGAATGCCAAAAGGTTGCGAGAATAAAATTTGCTGTGTCTTTTTGCACATTCAACGATGAAGTTATGATGTACTATTGGAATGTATAAAATTTCCAAATTCCAGAGAGTCAATGATTTATCCGTGTACGGAGTGGTTGACAAAACGTGCTTGTTAAGGTTACGTTACCATTCTTCGCAAAACACGTGGGACAGAAAGACGTGAAAAATTCACCTGCGTAATTAGCAACTCAATACAAGAAAAAGCGTAATAAATTAAAACTTGAATTTATTACTATACTAAGAACAAAATTTTATTCAATTAAATATCAAAAAGAAAACTATTAAAACACAAGAAAGAATAAAGAGACTACTACATAAAATGGATGATGAGGACGAGGGGTCATTTGACCCCTCGCATACTGCAGACCGGAGATCGAGAAGTAGGAGTACAATTAGAAAAAGAACAAAGAATGAAACACACATACCAGAGATGACTATAGCACCGATCCAGGGCTCAATAATGCAAGCAACCAACACAAAAAATAACCTTAATACTAACCAAGTAAGTACAAATGAATATAAATACAATGACAAGCACATGGGACCATTCATCGTATACCTCGACAAACGTGCGGAATCGGGAGAAAGAAGACCCATCAACGCAATCAGTGTTTCTAAAATGCTTGTAACGCTTAATATTAACGATGTAGAAGATGTATTTAAAATTGGCTTTGGGAGATGTAAAGTGATATTCCGAAATGCAGCGGCAGCAAACAATTTTTGTACGGACAAGAGGTTACATAGCTTGGAATATACCCCAAAAATTTTTGCGCATCTGGTTTCAAAAATGGGAATCATTTTTGATATACCGACGGATATTGACGAAGCAGGTTTGGGTAAGGAAATCAGATCATCTGTTCCTATTCTTAAATTTATAAGAATATACAGGAAAACAGAGGATGACGAAAGAATACCCACAAAAAGAGTAAAAATACTATTTGATGGACTTGAAATACCAAACGAGGTCATATACGCATACACAAAAATTCCTGTTAAACACTATATTTCATTTGCACAATGTTATAGATGTTTTAGATATAATCACTTTACTCAACATTGCAAGGCACAAAAGGATATATGTCAAAACTGTAGTGATGTACGAGAAATAAATCATCTATGCCACAACACAAAATGTATCAACTGCGAAGGATCTCACAAAGCCACTGCCAAAGAATGTCCGGCTAGAATCAAAGCATACAACATTAAAAAAATTATGACGATCGAGAACCTTAGTAATGGAGAAGCCAGGAAAAAATACACGGGCATATTTGGGAATAGATTTGATCTCCTTGAGGAAAGCAACAATGGTGGCTTCCCTACATTACCGTCCAAAAATATTCGAATCACTCAAAACAATACAAAATAAGCAGCAAAATTTTTACACAACCAATATCCATTCTCAAAAATGATAAAAACTAATTTCAATAGAGAAAGAGAAATTAAAAATGCGGATGAAACTATGAGACTATGGAAACAAACACTCCAAGAGGAAACAATACAACAACAAATACCTCAAAACATCACTATAATAAAAACGCCTAAACTGCAGCAGTTAGAAAAACACTTTGAAAAGCAAACGGATACAATAAAAGAATCGGCTCAACAAATTAATTCAATACTAACACAATGGTCAAATGACAATATGGACAAGGAGATCAGAGAAGTACTATATAAGGTTCAAGAATGCTACAAACTAATTAATGCGCTAGCGGACACGGAAATTATTAATCAACTAATTACAAATGAAATTGCTGCAATTTAACATTCAAAGTTTAAAAAAAGAAAATAACAAGGAATTATTAGAATTGTCACTAGATGAACACAATATAGATGTTGCTATATTATGCGAAACATGGCTCAATGACAATAGCTGCACAAGCTTACAGAAGTATAATTTTTATGGCAAATATAGACCGGACGGATATGGAGGTGTGGGAATATACATTGCCAAATCCATAAAATATTCAATAATAAAAACAAATACCACTGCTGAAGTAATAGGCATTACCACGCTGAATCTTAAAAACAATATAAATATATTTTGTATATATTGTCCACCTGACATGACAAACAATTTATTCAAAAATGAAATCGAAAAAATATTTATAATGGCGGGAAATCTTAGGAAAAAGACAATTATCGGTGGCGACTTTAATTGCAAATCTACTGTGTGGGGAAGTGCATGCAACAACACTAAAGGGAGCATGTTAGAAGCATTTGCATTCGACAACAACTTTATATGCCTGAATAATGGCAACCCTACATTCCACACTGGGACACATGAATCACATCCAGACATAACATTTTCAAACATCAACCCTGGCAATATCAAATGGTCGGTGCTTACAAGCAAAATTACTAATAGCAACCACCTTCCTATTACTATAGAAATCAACAGCATACAAATACCTAAGGCTAAGACTAACAGAATAATACACTGCAAACTAATTGAAGAAATCAAAAACTGTAATTTAGGTAATACATTACATGAAGCAACTGACGCCCTAAACAAAATTAAACGTAATAATACAATACAAATTAAAGACCAAAATAAATATGTCCCTAAGAAATGGTGGAATAAAGAAATAGACAGACTATACAAGTTAAGAAACAATGCGCGGAAGAGATACGAAACATACAAGAATTTTGCAAACCTTTGTAAATTAACAGATGCACAAAAAAACTTACAAGCGGAAATTGCTAAACGGAAAAAGGAAAACTTTAATGACTTAATAGATGAAATAACTGCAACAAGAGATTCTAAACAGATGTGGAATAAAATTAATAGTATTAAAAAATACGGAAGTACAAAAAAAATTAACAACAGCTGGACAGATGAGGAAATAATTAATTATCTTAAATATATAACAAACAATGACAATACTAGCACCGTAGCGATATCACTCAATACAAATCTAGAAAGCGGTGAACTACCTGAAATGACACTAGAAAATTTCAATAAGTACCTTCTAAACAGAAAACCTGACTCAGCGGCGGGATATGATGGTATATCATACAGAATGCTCCAAAATCTACCAAATGACCAAATAAAATGTCTATTTAATATAATTAACAATATATGGAAAGAGGGGAAAATACCTGACGAATGGAGAATAATAAAAATAATACCTATTTTAAAACCTAACAAAGAACCGGACAACATAATCAATTACAGACCAATTGCACTACTGCCAACTATTTACAAATTATTAGAAGGAATAATCAAACTACACCTCGAAAACACCACGAACCAATTAGACCTAATACCTCAACGTTCATATGCATTCAGAAAAAGAAGATCTACCACGTTTTGCATTAATGATGTCATTAATACAGTACTGTCCCTAAAAAGCAAAAATAATCAAGTTGCAGGAGCATGTATTGATAGTGAAAAAGCATATGATAATGTAAATATCAACAAATTAACTAAAATATTACTGGATATGGGAATATCACATTCAATATCGCGATGGTTACAAAATTTTCTAAACAACAGAATACTAAAACTAGGCAATAACTCAATAACAACAAGTAAAGGACTACTACAGGGAAGTAGCCTTAGTCCAGTACTCTTCAATCTATATACGGCTGAGCTACACAACATTAATGACGCTAACACAACCTTATTCCAATTCGCAGATGATTTTTTTATAATCACGGCACACAAGAACTTCAACACCATAAAAGAAAATCTCAAAAATAAAATAGTAGAATTCACCAATAACTGCAATCAAATAAACCTAAAACTTAATTTAAACAAAACTAATGTAATACACTTTAATAACAAGAAACAACAACTAGACATACAAATAAACAACATAAATATAAATCAAGTAGACTCAATTAAATACCTTGGAAGATATATATCTAAAAACAACTCTGCCAATATTCATGTAAATGAAATAACTAACAAAATTCACAAAGATTGCAAATTTCTGAATATCCTGAGTGGCTGCAAATTTGGAATATCACCAAGCAAAGCTTTACAACTTTACAAAGCGTTTGCTAGAGCAAAAGCAGAATATGCTGCTTCCTCATTCGCAAATCTAAGCAAAACGGCATCAACAAAACTGGCAAGCTGTAACAATAGAATACTAAGGAAATGCTTGGGACTCATTCGATCAACACCAACGCATGTGGTTTATCACATGGCCGCTGAATTACCCCTGGAATACAGATTTAGATTAACAACAGCCAAAGACATAATTAAAAGTTTTGCTTACGAACTACCAATCACAGAAGTACTCTCACAGGATAATTTATCCTTCAATACCAGCTATACCACTGTCTTTAAACAGTATGATGACATCTTCCGAAACATTGTAAAAATACCAACGCTTTCCAATACATCTAACAAAACAAAAATTGACACAGAATTCTTCAAGGGAATGGTAAATTCGAAAAAGAATGCGAGCAGTGAACAAATTCAACAATTATTTATTACCAAAATTGAAGAACTTAAAAGCAAAGAGTTAGAAATAATATTCACGGATGGTTCAATTAAAGAAATCACAACAAATGCAGCTTTTTTCCACGAACGTACCAACACTATAAAAGCTTTTTACATAAACAAGATTTTGTCATCCATGTCTGCTGAGATAATTGCCTTTGATAAAGCTATCGATTTTGCTACCTCGCTTCAATACCAAAGAGTTGCCATATTGACAGATAGCAAATCAGGAGCATTGGCGCTATTAGATGAAGAGACGAACAACAGCTTAATAATAAACTTAATAAATAAAATAAACACAAGTAATATCATTACATTGGAAATACACTATATCCCAAGTCATAGTGGAATTCATCAAAACTGCGTGGTGGACAGAGCTGCAAAACTTGCTAATATCACTGGTGAAGAGATAACTATCGAATGGAATATAAAAGATGCCATTAAAGAAGTTGGAAGACGATTGGCCTCTGAATGGCAAGAAAAATACTCTGAAATTAGTAATGATAAAGGGAAAAAATATTACACTATATTTCCTAAATTATTAAAAAGACCATGGTTTCACAAATTAGTCCCAAATATAGAGGCAAAACAAATAAAACAAATAAATAGAATATTATCGGGACACGCATTCTGCAGACATACGTTAGCAAAATTTAAGGTAGTAGATGATCCTCTATGTGAAATTTGCAATACAGAAGAAACTCCAGAGCACATCATACTCAAATGCAATAAATATGACAACATTAGAGCACATCATCCAAAATTAATAGCACACGCCTCTTTTGAAGAATTACATAAAATGGAAGATTCAAAAACATACATTATATTATCTGAATTCCTTAAACATACACAAATACTACTATAAAATCATACTTATATAAAACCACATAATATTCAAAACAATTACACCCAAGATAGCAAGACAGACAATATCCAATAAATAAATTGCATACGAGATGATTTACTACATCAAAACACATAAGTACTAGTCATCGATATCAACTCATAAGAATCGCTTTCAAATAATCGGTGGTGGCGCTGTAATTCTTGGAATCGGCCAAATAAATCTCTTCAACCGTGATATCGGTGCAAGAGTAACTTTAAAGCACTATAAAAAAAAAAAAAAAAAGGTTACGTTACGAAACAATCGACCGGTGTCGTGAAACTTGAATTTATTAGGAAATTTACTGAAACTAAAAAACCTTCGCAAAACCCAAAATGCCGGTTCGTATTTTTGCGATGAAAAGAGTTCAGCTGAGTAAAACCTAGGAGCGAAAAGACAAAAAACGCGTGGGTTCGTATGTAGTCAACTCAATTCTCCTTTATTAAAAAAATTATACATATAAATGACACTTTGTTCAAGATGTCGATAAGATAGTTCAATGTATGAACGAGCAAAACAAAGAGAATGACAGTTCGAGTGGCATGTTCTCGTACTAGTCATTTATGAAAAGCAACACACTGTGTTCGTTTACGCTAATCTCCGAAACCGCTTAGCCGATTTCAATGAAAGTTTATGGTTGTGTATTGTTGGTTCCAACTTAAAAGATAGGATAGTTTTGAAACCGAGAAAAAATATATATTTTTTTGCATCGACATTTTTTTATGCGCCTCGCAACGTGCTGATCTTAATATATAAAAATCCCGTGTCACTGTTTTCATTTACGCTAATCTCCGAAACCGCTTAACCGATTTCAATGTGGGTGTGTATTGTTGGTTCCAACTTAAAAGAAAGGATGGTTTTGAACCCGAGAAAAAATATTTTTTTATGCTCCTCGCAACGTGCTTATCTTAATATACAAAAATCTCATGTCACTGTGTTCGTTTACGCTAATCTCCGAAACCGCTTAACCGATTGCAAAGAAAT